CCCCAAAACCCCAAAACCCCAAAACCCCTTATTTTATGAAAATATTGAAAGTTTCTTTCAAAGATATTGCATCCAGCTCGGTCTCTGACTTCTTAATGCTTGTATTCATTTGCTTCGCTAAAGGTTACCTCAAATCTATTCACTTGACAACAGATTTTTTGACAAAGTCTTCTTGCCGACTACACTCAATAGCTCGGGAACCTCTGATTTTCCTCACATGAGCAATGACATTCCTACCAAGTCTAGCTAAAAACTTCTGAGTAAAGGAGGAAGGATCTAGACCAGTCTGACAGAAGTAGTAATGAGCCAGGAGGCATCCTGCCACTGTCCCTGCTCTTCCATTACCTCCTCGGCAATGTATTAGGAGGTTATTTCCTTCACCGAGGTGATTTATGAGATCCTAGAGAGTGAAACCACTAGGAAGTACCTGCATCCACTCAGTTTCTTCGGGTACACGCATCTCTATAATAGGGTATTGAATGAACTTTATGTCTAAGTCTTCACAGAATTGGCTGTATTCTAAATTTTAGGAAAACACATGCCTTTAACCTGCACTCCAATGCTCTTCAGCTCATAGTCACTTAGTAAGCAGACTATCATAGTCACTGGATTCTAGAAAGATGAGGGATGAAGAGTTACTGATTCTAGCTGTCTGAACATTGTGAGATCTGTATGTAATTAAACCAAAATTAAGATAAATTTTATCGCTCTTTAATCCGAACGCTTTACAAAAACTACTTTCATAATTTATTGAGAGACTAGACTATTCTAGGTATCAATTGTTTTATAAAATGCTTTCATAGTGCAGGCTATTATTGACCTTACCTTTCACCAAATCTCGGTCATGAACTCTTCCATCTCTTCCCATCTTTATTTTCTTCCCTGGGCAATAGCACAGCCCAAACTTGCCTTTAGGAAGAGCCGAAGGGGCCATTACTAAGAATTAGATACATTTTTATTACTTTCATCTTCAGGATTACAGAAGAACCATGAAATTTTTATCATTTTTTGACCTAGAAATTATCTGAAAACTACTAGAACAAACTGGCACATCTTTAGACTCTTCAAGAGAGCTAGCCTTGGTCTTTCTGACCCTTGAGACTGTCGTAGGTTTGGACACCTAGAATTCATATAAATTCCTACCTTTGACTTTGGTGATGGTCCGCCAGATTTAGAAGGAATTTTAACATCTTTCCTTGTTTTTAGAAGTTTAGAATCTAACTTAGCCAATGAGCTTGGAGTTTGAATTTTTGAAGCTGGCTCCATTTTCAATTAATTTAAAAATAATTGGGGTTTTGGGGTTTTGGGGTTTTGGGGTTTTGGGG